GAAGGGTGTTTTGAAAGACATCATATCCAACATATCAAGGTTCTACAGTTTACAATGAGAGCTTTCAGCAAAGCATGTGAGAGTTGTGCCACAGAGAGCAGAACGTCCCTGTTATTATGGTGGGAGAGGTTGGTTTGTTGCCATGAACGTAACTGGAATTTAACATTCCACTTCCCATGAGAGCTCAAGGTTTCCAGGACTGGTGCAAGCTGCAGGCTGCATAGCAGAGGTTCCAAGCCCAATAACCAGGCATACCTTGCCAAATACAGTCGTTCCCTCACTTTTAATCCATATGTGTTTTAAACCCCTCCGCGTGCCATGCGGTCCTGCAGGCTCTGCATTGACCTGACTTGTTGACAAAGCCTCCCCCAGCTCTCTTCCTCTTGTGAGCTCTTCAGGCCCTGGCAAGCACATGGGGGGATAATTCTATCAGCTCCAGAAAAGAATCCCGTGTTTACTGAATCAGTAAGACCAAAGAGTGTTTTATGTGAATAAGCAGGGAAGGAAAAGGCCCAGAACACAGCAGGGGAATTAATCTGTTTTGATAGAGGGTGTGGAAACAGAGGCCGGAAATGGGGGTTAACAAAGCACTATAAAAGTACTCTGAGAGGGGAAGTATCCTCAAACGGCCCCTGCAGTTGGGATGAGAAGGGGCTGTTCCAATTCAAAACAAAACTGGCAGCTGGACTCTGTGATCTTCATGTTGCTTTGTAACACAGCAGCAAAAGCAGTAAAGTTGAATCCAGTGTTCTGTATGGTGGCTGTTTTTTTTTTCATGCTGTTGTGTTGCCTTTCATTGGTGTTTTGGCCACAGTAGAAAGCAGGTTGTGATCTAGTTAACCATGTAGCACCTTTGCACAATTCAGTACATTGTTCTTTTAAACACTTAAGCACATAAAATGATAAAGTTGTACGGACACTTTTACAGGAATACCTGCAAGTTGGGTAAAGCCTAAAAAAACAAAAGTTAAATGTATCCCCTGATCAGGTACAATAGCTGTTAAATTAGATTGCTATGAATATAAACTAAATGCAAGGATTTTTATTCACTTACATCTCTCATAATAAAGAAAAGAGTTTATATTTTAGAAGTAGAAGTGGTTGTATTTAGTCAGAATTGATCTTGAGGGGAAAATGTGGTTGTCCTTAAAGCAAAGAGAAATGTTTAAGAAAAGCATTACCTGCTCACAACCTGTTGAACTGGTGGGACTAGTCAAAGGTAAAACCTGCAGAACCTTTTTTGTGTGGTAGCCAAAGAAATGTAGTCTTGGAACACCTGCTGCTAGTCTGCATAGTGCAGAAACCCTCCCTGAGTGGGTGCATTGTGGGAACAGTTAAGAGGGTTGAGCTCCTGTGCTCTTAATTACCCTTATGTCTACCTTGGATCTGAAGGGGAGAAGAAACATTTGCCTGGCTTTAGTTAACAGAAAGCAGCTCCTGTGCCGAGAGTCCTGCTCAGAAATGGCCAATGCAGCGTCAGCCACGCTTACATTTGGTGCTGTTGAGTTCCCAAGTGTTGAAGACTCTGTTCGAGTTGGGGCGATGACCTGTCCTCTGCCGATAGCAGCTGTTTGTTCTTGCTCCTCTGACGTGCTTCCGTGAGTTTGTTCCTCTAGCAGCTGTACACTCTGTTGTCTGTCTAGAGCCCTGATGCCTTTTTAGCTCACGCCTTTCAGTTGTATTTCAGTCAAAGGCCAGACCACCGTAGACAAGGCACTTTGGGAAGCCTCTGTGATCCATTGGGCATGCATCTCCAAGCCTTTATACACTTTGATGTGTAATATAGCGTGTTATTGCACAGTAATCTACAATATTACACATCAAATAGTACAAAGGGAATGTGAGCACAATCAGGGACCTTTGCACTGGGGTCTCTGTCCATTAATATTTTCCCAGAAAGCTGTGTGACATGGCTCCAGAGGAATCAAGACAGTTTCCACTCATGTGTCACGTTGGAAAATGTTAGCGTTCAGAGTATCCAGGGGGAAAGTTGGTGCCAGACGCTGTACCCACAGCTATTGGCTGCTGTTCGTGGAGCTTGATTGAACCAATATAATGTAAGAGGCAAGTAGGATCAAAGACTGGGGAAGAAATGATCCAGAGAAATGGAACATGTATGGTGGGTCAAACATTATTCAGAACTGTTCTCCCAGGAAACTGTGGTCTGGACACAGCCCTTGATGTGATTGAAAGCTGCCTTTGTTGTACAGTCTTGGCACTGTATCAAAGAGAGACTTGGTAAGGCCTTAGCCTGAAAAATGGAAAATGTTCTGGAACAGATGGTATACCATCAGAAGTCTCGGGGATGTGGGAAAACCATCCTACTTCAACATTTTTGAGCTTCTGTGTCTATAGTGGAGAGTATCGGATCCCAAATGATATGAGAGACTCTCTACCTCCACACACACCAGCCTGTGCACAAACACTGCACTACAGGACTAGCTTCTAAAACCCAGTGGAGTTCACTGCACACAGTAAAATGCTAATGCTCTTTGGATTTCCTATTAAAATTATGTGTCGAAAACAGAATAGCTTCTAAACTTGCAGTAGAAGATTATAGATTATTCCTTTATGAAGAGATTCACAGTCTGCATTAACCCTGCGGTACACAACAGCAGAAGTTCTTGGCGGTTGTCTTATTCTGACTGACAACTGCTTTCGGTCAAACTACAGAAGCACATTGTAATTGCTTTTCAATTATGTGCTTTGAAGAATGGACTGGTGAAATGCTTTGATTTATTGCCTACTGAGGAACCATCAAGCACTCAGAATGGGATTTTCTTCTCTTTCTTCTCCAATATCTGAAGTGATGTGTGTTGTACAGAGACCCCTGTCCAAGCCCTTGTTTCCATTGTTTCTCTAGTACTGTATATATTCATCTTAGGGTCCTGGGTGTGTGCCCAAACTGTCAGCAGCTGTTCAAATGTTAAGTCTTTAAAGGCTAATTCAGCCTTAACCAGGAGAGAACAAAGCAAGCAGGATTGTGGTCAGACAACATCAGTCATGAGCAAACGCGAGTACAGACAAGTTCTGCTAGTCCAGGAAGAGCTGGCAGACTGTTTACTGTAATTATCCTGTGACACAAGCTAGCGTTTAGATCTTTTAATAAAACTTCTTGTTTCAAATAGTAAATGATAAAAAAGGGTGATAAATCATATTTTTCAGCAAACCAGTAAAACGTGCCTCCAGTGTAGCTCGGGGGCGGTAATGGATCTGGAAGTGTGTGCGCAGTGCTCTGGTTGGCTGCTGTGGAGGGTGGGGGCAGCGTGTCTGTCTGGAGAGGCTGGGCCCAGGCGGTGTGTACACAGCACAAGGGCCGGCTCTGTGTGGAAAGGGCAGGCTGTGGCTCGGCCCTGCCGCTGGAATAACACGAGCCAGCTGTTTAAAGGCCAGGGGCAGCCTCTCTGTCTGCCAGGCCCACAGACCCTGCTTTATACCGGCTGAGACTTTGCTGAGGCAGCAGAACGCTGCTTTGTTTTCGTTGGGCCCGAGATGTTGCCAAATCCCGGCCTGTCCAAACTACCGCGCGCATGAAGTGGTGGTTTGTCCCTACAGAGGGAGGCATTCATACCTGCTGGTGCACATGGTTATTCGTCAGCATTCGCTGCACCTCGGGAGACAGTGGTTCCTAAGACTCGGAGCGATGGCACCCAGCCTTTACAGAACCAACACGACCAGAGCTGACCTCGGGGCGCAGAGCAGGGGGCCCAGTCTTTTAAATCAGTGGAGGCCAGTGAGAGAGCATTACTGTGGAGTGTGCAGAAGCAGAAGTTGCTTTACTGGAATGTTTCCATTTTGTTCCTCCGACGTGCGTTGGAGCTGAGAACAAACTTAATCTTATCGAGTCCATGAAGGGTTTGATTGTGTGTCTGGGAGCTGGGCTGGCACAGACCCCAGCAGGTGTGTGGGGCACCGGGGCCAGGAGTGAGAACCCCTGGTCTGGGTGCTAAAAGTTGCCATGGGCATAAAAACAGCAGCAGCAGCAGCAGTAGCATGTTGGTAAATGTGCTGCTAGAGGCAGCGCCAGGCTCAGCACACAGGCCCCTTCACGGCCACAGGCTTGCTCCGGAGTGGGCACTGCTGCAGGGGAGGCACCTGATGTCCATGTGCAGGGCCAGCCGCAGCCCCTGAGTGACCACACAGGAACACGCAGGCTGCAGCTGACCAGCACCGAGCCTGCCTCCTGTGTTCAAGAACAGCAGGGACTGAACACTGGGACTCGGAGGGCTGTGGTGTGCTGGCCTCTTTATTTTTAAGAGTGGGATCTCATAGAAACCAATTCAGAGCTTTACTCTATAGTTTCCAGTGTCAGCAGGGCTCGGTGTTCTGTCTTCTAGGAGCTTCAAGTGATGGTCAGACTGCAGTGAAGCATCAAATGTTTGAGGCTTAAATGCGCTTGTCTGATGGCGTCACGTGACATCATGTCTTGGAGGTCCCCCCAGCAACCATCGCTCATTCTAAAGAAATGAAACGGCTTGCTATTAGTCTGCAGTGCCATCCTTGGGGAGTTCATGAGTGGTCATCGAAATGCTTTTGCTTTCCGAGATGGCTGTTAGGTAGCACCTTCTCAGAGGTGAGGCGTCTTGGATTGAGGGCTTACAGTCACCCTGCTGTGAGAAGTGTGAACTCTTCTTTAGTTTTGAAATCTAGACTCAAGACATATCCGTTTACTCTGGCTCTTAATGAGAGCTGGCCTTTTTGACCTTTTCCATGTTTTCCATCACAAATACAGTGTATGTTTGTTTATTTTTTTCAGTTATATGGTATTTTGCTTGGATTTTTCTCTTTTCTGGGGGCGTTTTTGTTTTTACCCTGTGAAGTGCTGTATGGTTGTTGTTGGTTTGCGTTCTCCTGAAGTCCCATGGCAGAGGGGTCAACAGGCCTGAGGTTCTATTATAAGAGGTTGAAATGATATTGCAGCATGTCACCTGCAGGGATCCTCCACCTGCCTGGCAGTGCAGTAGGCTGTGCTGATGTTCGCTCTCCCTTGTTCTCTGCAGGAAGTCCAAGACGAAGCCCAATGGTAAGAAGCCGCCCACCGAGGAGAAGAAGCAGTACTTGGAAGTGGAGTATACAAAAGTCCGGGTCGTCGACTTCGACCTCAAGGAGCTGGTGGTGTTACCGCGAGAGATCGATCTCAACGAATGGCTAGCCAGCAACAGTAAGACCCTCGTACAACCGCTAGGTTTCCCAAACCAGAGCTCACACAATCTTTGTTTCTAGATCAATAAAAATATTGATAGTTGAATAGTTGAAGCATCATTTTGGCTACTGAATGTTGTAGGCAGCTTCAATCTTGGGATCTGAAATACTTTTCGAAATATGCAGCATAGCTTGTTATACAGGGATTCTGCTGGCAGCTCAGTTCACAAGAGGACCGGAGGCTTCAGTGTCTACAGGCCTGGGGTTGGGTCATAGAAAACAAGTCTCTCGTGGACAGAATGAAACAGCACCCAAGTCTAAACTGCTGGTGCGGAGCTTAGTGAGCTTGCTTGGAATTTCATTTCCCCACAGGGCAAGGCTTTGGAAATTAATACTGGTTTTCTGTTGCATCTTTCTTGAAAGTCTTTTAGCAGACATTGTCTAGTTAAAGACCATATGTGCCCTGTTTATTGAAACATGTTTATGTAAATATTTTGCCAGCTTAGTACAGCATTTAAAATCATGTTCCCTTTCTTTAAGTCATAGGCTTTAAATAAAGTCTGTCTGTTAATTATACATCTTTCTATTAGATGGACATTTTTAGGTGCAAAAGCTTAATTTGTAGCTAAGAATAAAGGAATTCAATTAGAATTCAGTCTACCAGAACCTCGATGTATGCAAGCTGTCATGATTTTGTAATACCTGTGCGAATGTTGTCTTGCTTCCTCTGTCTCTGTGCGGTTGATACTTCCACTGGCTTGTTAGTATCGTAACCCCCCGGCTATGTGCCTCGCCTGTCGGGCTCCCTGTTTTGGATGCTCCTCCTTATTCTGTACCTCTTACTCTCCCCGTTTATCTCCACCATTGCTTCGGCTCGCTGTGCACTAGCCTGCACCCGGATTTTAGCGTCTGCCTAGAAATGTCTGGACTCTTCCCGAGTGCGGTGTGCTAACAGATTTTAGATCTAAAGTTCTGTGTAGTTCTGATAGAGGTTTTGCAGGCTGGGGCGTTGACACAAGTGCCTGTATGACCTGAGTCCATTTCCAGCTTATTCAGATACTCCCAGTCCTTTCAGCCAGTCCTTCTATGTGGCGTGCTGTGCTACTGCGTGCTGGGCGCTGTTCGGAAGGAAGCCAACCATGGCAAGCTTGGCTGGCATAGCTGGTGTGTTTTATAAATGAGGAGCTTTGCACCGCTGTCATAATCGGCCTTTTCTGTCTTTTGTCTTTTTGCAGCAACAACCTTCTTCAATCTCATCAACCTCCAGTATAGCACAATCTCCGAGTTCTGCACCGGGGAGACCTGTCAGGCTATGACAGCCTGCAATACGTAAGTACACCTGTTTGTCCCGTGGGGAGTGGTGCATTTGGAGTGTTTTTTAGACATCTTAAGAGCCAAAGTAACAATCCTTCCATTCTTGCTTACTCTTTGATCCTCACAAATGGTCAACATGACGAAAGCAGAGAGAATTTGGCCTCTTTCGTATACAATGCGTGCCCTGTCTCAGCCTGCCAGATCTCCCAGGGTCAGAACTGGATGAGATTGGTTACCTCCAGTGTCCCATAACACTGCTACTCATATCCAGAAGACCAGGCTGTATCCAATTGTATTAAACAGAAAGAAGCTAATCATGTCTGCTTGACTTCTTCAGGCTTTTATCTTAGTATCGCTGAAGGGGGACAAGTTGAAACATTTCTTAAGAAACTATTTTCTTTTAGTGTTGTACAGATTTGAGGTTTGAGTGCATGAAGCTATGAGCAAGCTGTCAGTCACAGCCCAGGGACTTCACACTGAGAGGCACGATCAAACAGCTCCAGAGCCTGTTGTTACAATTAAAGACGCCAACTGTAAACCACAGCAGTGCTTTTTGTTGTAGTGCCAGATACATACTCCGCTTTGTTCAGCTGCCGAGGTCGGTGTAGCCAAAACGGTCTTAACAGCTACCTTTCAAGTTAACAATGTGCCCTCTCACAACCGTCTACTGGGCCTAGGACAGGTGTTTTAAGGAAATCCAGACAAGATTCTTTGCTTGTTGGCATCAAAGGGAAAAGAAAATCTTTCTAAATGATCAACTTCCTTTCTCTAAAGGGCCTCCACGTGGGTGTAACTTATTCCACACTGCCTTAGCCAGTAAAGAGACTTGAGTAGGGCGCGGGCCGAGCTCTCTGGTGCCCAGATGTTGCTGGTTCATGTCGCTGACTGTAACTGGGACTCCACAAGGCTTGGCAGTGATGTCAGCGGTGAACAGCCACTCCTCCAGTCAGATCTAGCTCTCCTTATGGCACAGTGGAGCCCCACAGCAGAACCATTGATCTTTTGAAAGTGGGCTTGTTGGAAGAGCACGTCTGCTTCTCCTTAGTGTGATTACCAGGGGTGGGGAGGGCCATGCATGAAAGCCGTCTTTTGTTCCAGATCGGGTTGATATGTAATGGGAAAATAATTGACTTCAAATTTTTAAGCAAATGTTAAAAACGTATTCCATCGAGACTGACTTCTTCAATATCCACTCAACCATTTTACCAGTGTAAGGAGGAGGGATGTAGTGAATCAAGTGAATCCTTGATTTCTGAACACTGCTGTTGTAGACAGACCTCTCTAGTAGCAAATACTTTAAAATAAAGCACAGATTACAGATAACCTTTTTTTCCTTCATCGCTTAGTTGAAAATTAGATTGCGGGCTTGTTGCTTCCTGCATGGCATACTCACATAGTGATCTCTCTGCCATTCATAACATTTCAATTCAGTTCCTCGGCCACAGGCAGAGATGTATTTATAGACGGAAAGAGTCTTTTTGGAACTAAGTTAATCAAGTCATGAAGGCCATATGAGAATAGTTGTGAAAGCTATTTTTGTCTGATTTGTAGCTCAGTGTTAAAGACAGCTGTATAATATCCTCGGATCACTTGTTCACTAGCCACCACATTTCTTCTCAGTTTTAACCCTTTTTTTTACATTCTTAATGAGGTCATCCGCGTACATTTCCCGTCACAATTGTTTTCCAGAAGTTCCACTGACAGCCGCAGAAAAAAAAATATTTACTCGAACTATTTACATAGCTGGTTTGCCCTGTCAGAGTGGATAAACAGCCTGGTCTCTAAAAGCTCTCTTTTTTTTATCTAGCTCTCTTTAGTTTGTCAGTGGAGGGTGTCCTTGGAAAAAAAAACTGGATAGTCCACAAATTCAGCCCCCGCTTCCTGCACATCGTCTTCAGCAAACAAAACAAGCTGAGGAGTGCTGTGAGGCAGAGTGTTTTTCTAGAACACGTCTTGCTAGGTGTATAAGATTGCAGATTAAGTTGTTCCGAGGTGAGAATTTCCAAATTTTAACGAGCAGTGCGACATGCTACGGTTTCTGTAACTTTCCGCTCCCTATTGATTGCAGATGTCACCTTTTAAAGTATTTCCTTTTTATGCGTGAGAGAAAGTCCTGAACGATTTTTAGAAGATCTACATTTTGGTCTTCGGCTTTAAACTGGAGGTGATTAGATAATCATTTTATTATGCACTTAGTTTGTGTCCTGGTTTCTGTTTTCTTTTTTTAAAAAACATCTCTAAAGCAGTGTTCGGTCATTAAGAGCACACTAGGAGACGATCCCGAGAAGCCGAACACCGCATGAGCTGTGGCACATGACAGGCATGAAAGTGGAGGAGTCAACTGGTTTGCTCCCTCTCTTATGTACACCAGCATTATTTCCAGAAAGGGCTCCTAACGGGCATTTTCGTGCAAACTTGTCTGGGAATGTGATCTGTCTGGGAATGCAGCGGCCACTATGTACAGTCCCCGTGGAAATATCCTTTCTTTCATGGCTGGGATTATCCGACGATCCGCCGAGATCCCTATCTCTTCCAGCAGGCTGCCATGCAGCCCCCCGTAACAAAGGCAGACCTTTGCAGTTTTGTGAAAAGGACATAAAAAGATGTAAGCCACCCTCATGTATGCCGTCTTTTATACAGAAGTGGTCTGTGCTTGTCGTGCATGCCGCGAGCTGGGAGAGGAATGCAGACCGCCTGGGTGGTGGTTCAGAAACCCCCAAATTAAAAGAGCTGCTGCTCTGGGTGTCTTATCTCCAGCCCGCACTCCACGAAAGCATGATCTGGCACATTAAGAGCGCACACAGAGTTTTGCTTGTTTCGGGGGAGTAAAAAAGCTCTTGCTGTATTGCAGAACAAACTGGTAACTTTTTGTATCATCCGTGTGGCCGCATTCCATAGCAAAACCTTTCCTCCTTCTCTGTCTTTCTTACAGATCCATGGGAACACCATGGCACGGGGCCCTTTTTTGTCCTGTTGAATCCCCCCCATTTAAAAGTGGTTCAAATCTGAAATTGAGTTATATTCTAGAAATCAGATAGATTGTGATGGACATGCTATGTGATCCTTTTTGCTCATTTGGTAATGACAGCTTATTGATCAAGAAACCTCAGTGGATAGTTTCTATATTGATTTCACCGAAGCAGCTTCCATATCAGATACCCTGAACAGAAACACTGAGACATCTAATGTTATCAGACACGCTGAACAGAAAGTGTGGTAGTGTTCTAATGAAGTTGCTTTATTTGATTAGTACCAGACCGGCGGTGATTCTGTTTAAACTTAGAAAATGATTCAATCGGAAGTGTAATGTGTACCACCAGCGTGGACTTGCATGGCTTCTGGCCAAGGAGAGATGAGGTTTATGCATCTCATCCTATGAAATGGACAGCTTCCCCCATAGATCTAGGCAATTCTGCAGAAGGTAGTGCAAGTAGGAGCACCAGAGCAGAAGTTCTAACTATAACAGTTTCCGTATGTGAAGTATGGAGTTCTACACTACCACAGAGGTAATGAGCAATGTGTTCATCAAGTAATTGCAGGCATTCACTTTTAGCTGTGGCTTCCAGGACCTGCTCTGCTTGACTGCTCGTCAGCGGTGTTAGTGTGGAGAGCATGTTTGCCAATTCTGAACAATGGATTGGCTGCATTAGATCAGTCACTTCGCATACGTCTCTTGCAGCTCAGCACTGCTCCCCTGTGTTCCCTGCGTGTGTGCTGGGCTCAGATGAAAGGAGTCCAGATCCCACATGAAGTGGGGAGTCTGTTGTAAGCTTTACAGTAATGTATCGAAATCAGAAACGTTTTTTCCTACTGAAGATTTGTTCTTCAACATGCAGTTAATTACCCACCGTTTTATGTTTTACATTCCTTATTGGATAATTTAGACAATACACCATGAAGCAGAGATCATGTGGCTAGAACAGTGCCTGGTATTGAAACCATTGACTATGTAGGGGTGTTCCCACTGGGTGGCTGATAGATGGTAGGTGGCTTTTTTTAATGCTGGTGATCTTCGGTGCTGAAACTACAATCCCACATTTGTGTTGCCATAACTAAACTCCCTACACAAGAGCTCCTGGCTGGCGGCCTGGTACGGGCTGTGGACTCACTCTAGGGTGCTGTGCACATCAGACACTGCGACTCCACATGTGACCACAGTGTGATTAAATGAAAGTTCTGCAGCTCAACAGCTAGAAAAGCACATGACCCTCTCGGCATGCAGTTGGCTGTTAATGGAACAGATCTGTTCTAGCTGCCACTGGAGTCAGCCTGATCCAGTCAGTGATCTGCCTATGAACAGAACCATTCTCCTGGCTGGGAAGCACAGGATCTTTGTAAATGTCATAATTTGTAAATGTCATAATGGCTGGAAACAAGAGGAACCTGTACATAAGAGGACTCCATTTGGCCCATATAGACCATTTGGTGGCAAGTAGTTATTTGATTCAAGTATCTTATCCAGATGTTTCTTGAAAGAAAACAGGGTTTAAAATCAGGTTGTTAAAGTCTTAATCTAACTGATGCATCTCTCATCAGTAGCATATTAATTAGTTGTAATAATGTATAAAATCAGACAGTGCATACAGTACAGCATTGGTACAGTTCTTTATCCAAATGCATACAATTCACATTGTCAGGGATTGTCATGTTTCTTTTATGCTTCCATCCATAGTTTTTATGATTCTTTGACAGTCCTAAATATCTCCCTGTAACAACGAGGTCTGTTCTTTAGGGTAGCATGTTCTGGCTTTGTCTGTACCGTCCATTTCTTTCAATAACATCCAGGGCTTTCGTTAAGGCAGCAGCTTCTCTGACCTTCACCAGCAGAGCTCCCACTGCTCAGTGCCTGAGGCTTCTACTGGAAATCATGCAGGAAATTAGTCAGCCATCACCTAAACTTTTAAGTATGCAGTAAAACCAAATGCCTTGGGTACTGTAGTCATTCGGGAGGTCAGGTTCCACACAAGAACTGTGCTTATTGTGTGGAAGGGGAAACAGTATCTGATTCAAAAGGTTGATTTTCACACTTACAATAGTTCTATTGGCACGTATCTGAGAAGGTTAATGATCACCACGGAAAAAACTTCGGAAAGGGTAATTGGAATTTGTATCCGTCTAGATTGTCCGTCCGTTTGTAGTGTATGCGTCAACCTCGCCATTGTCGCATAAGGAAAGAAGAGTCAGCAATGCAGGTGGACATTTGTGTGCTTTGTGTGCAGGGACATTTTGGTTAAGAAGCGTAGGTCTGTGTGTACTTTCCTGTCTTGTAGCTTTTGCTTAATGAGAGGCAACAATGAGCAGGCATGTCACGAAACAGAAAAGGCCGAGGCTCCACGTGTACAGTTTGATACTCCACTGGCTGCGGTTTTGTCCGATAAACTCTTGTCACGGACGTGAGCGCTTGATCAGGCTGGGCTGGCGGGACTCAGCAGTGAGAGCCTGGACTCACCCCTCCTCTGCCTCCACAGGCAATACTACTGGTATGACGAGCGGGGGAAGAAGACGAAGTGCACGGGCCCGCAGTACGTGGACTTTGTCATGAGTCTGGTCCAGAAGCTGGTGACGGACGAAGACATCTTCCCAACAAAGTACGGTGAGTGAGCGAGTTCCAGCAGGGGGACACAGCAGGTGTCGGGCGACGCCGTCAAGGAAATGAAACTCGCTTCAAGATTGATCAACACCAGCCTTAAACGCAAGTCAAAAGCTGTATTCAGTTGTATTGTTTTTTTGAATCGTTGTTTTGTTTTTGCCGGAGGACCTTAGGTAAGTTCCAGTCTTGCAGGACAAACAGGTTAATGTAGGTGACGGGACTGTTTCTGAATGAATGAGGAGGTAATGGTGACGACATTTTTATTTTCTGAATGCAACTGGAAAGTTGACCAAAATCATGACTAAATGGTGAGGGTGCCCCCTAATGTCTAAATGCAGAACTGCTTTGTTTCTGTGTTGAGTTTATGAATCAGATCATTTAGAAATAGACGTGTGAAATGTGAGATTCTTTCTTAGGTTCAGCACTATCGTAGCTATACCTCTTTAAAACACTCACAATGAAAACAAATGAATTCTATATTTAATGTATTATTTGTTTTCTCATATACATCTTTGAAAATAGAATTAAGTTATTTTCAAGTGAATAAATCTAACCTGTTTTTTTGTTGTGAAAGTTAGGAGAGAGGAAGAGTCTAGCATATTCAGTTTATCCTTGATGAAAGTCCAGGAGTTGTCCGAAATGTGAAAAAGCTTCAATTTACCGGACAACGACAATGGAAATTTCTCATGTCCGATCCCAAAAGGACCTTCAATTGGAATTCTGTATACCTGTGCTTTGGATTTTCTCTTTGGATCTTGAGTAGATACTGGTTCTGTATGATCTGCCGCCGGTTTAAAGTCTTCTGTCTTCTTTACCTCCCCTTTGCAGGCAAGGAATTTCCCAACTCCTTCGAGTCTCTAGTAAAGAAGATCTGCAAGTACCTCTTCCACGTGCTGGCTCATATCTACTGGGCCCACTTTAAGGAGACTGTGGCGCTGGACCTGCAGGGACACTTGAACACTCTCTACACACATTTCGTCGTGTTTATAAGGGAATTCAACTTGGTGGACCCCAAGGAGACCTCCATCATGGACGACCTCACGGAGGTCCTCTGTACGCCAGTGGCCGCGGCACAGAATCACGTCAAGGAGAGATGAGCCCGCCTTCGCCGCCGCCGCCGCGCTGGTGGGGGGGACAACGGACCGCGAGGGCAGAGCGAGGAAGGGAAAGCAGCACACTAGAGCTTCGAAATCAAGAACATAGCGAAACCAACATAAAGACTGAGCGAGCAGCAGATCTCCACTCCTGCAGGAACTGGTGTGGGTTTCCCTGAGGCAGTCCTGCCTGCCTACTCTGCCCTGTAACTAGGAACGAACCACGTCTTTTGTTTTATTTGATCTTTTTTTTCCCCACGTTTTTATTGTTTTTTTCGGGAGTGTTTCCATTCCCTCCTTTTCATCCCTCTCTCCTCATACGCATATTAGGTTGGTGGTGTCACCACTTTTAATGTATTCTGTAACAATCTAAAAACAATAGTGGGGGGGGGAAACAAGAAGAGTGACTTTTTAATTATAATAGCTTTTTTTTTTTGCATAATCCCAGTTCTGGGAGGGGGTGGGCGGGATGGCTACTGTCCTGTCTCCGGTGAGGCTCCTGTCCTCGTGTCATTTCTTTTTAATAAAGCAACCGCTAGTTAGAGGTCATCCCATGCAGAACCTGAGAGAGAGTAAGAGCCCGGCTAGCCAGAGGCATGACTTCGAAAGCCGTCAGTTTTACGCTATTGGCATTATGACTGTTGTAAAGTTGTGTAAAGACGCGACCTGGTCACCCCTGTGAAGGCAGATGGTTGAGCCGCTGTCTCAGTGTGGGAGGGTCAGTCTGCTGAAGGGCCAGTCCACTTGTTCAGGCGGTGGGGGTGGCCGGGGAGATGAGAATTCCATCAGGTCACCCAAGGGTGGGAGATTCGTGGGATGAGAAATCGCTTCGACTGCAGAAGGGAGCAGGGACAGAAAGAGTCGGGAGGCTCGCAGACGGGACTCTCCCTGCCAGGCTCGCTGTTGCATTGACGCCGCCTCGCCTGTGACTGGTGGCGGGAGCTCCTGTTGAGCGCGGAAGCACGCGCCGGACAAGGACATGGCTCTGTCTGCTCACTCGTGCGCCTTCTCCCCTGGTGCTGGGAGCCGCGCCGCCGGCACGCCTGCAGGGGGCAGGAGAGGGCAAAACGGCAAGAAAGGAGGGGGCTGGGAGGCCCACGAAATCATTAAGACGTGCAGTTTTGTTTCTCAACGACACTTCTCCCTCTGAAAGTCTCTTTCCTTTATCTTAAGGGGCTTTATTTTAAATCGGCTGCAAAAAAGGCACAGATGCTTGTATAATAATGAAAAGAATATATCAGTTTGATTATGGTATTTCAGATGAATACTTGACCAGTCAACAGCAAAAAGCGTGCGTGGGTTTTGCCGGTTTGTCCTGGTCAATGTTGAATTACTGTACTGAGAGGATATGAAAATGGGAGCTGTTGGGAATCGCCTCTGTTTCATGGAGGGTGAAATTATTATTTTTCCTATTTTTATTTTTTTGACATTTGCAGGGTTCTTCAGTTCTGGCTTTCATTTTTATGTATTTTAATTATTATATAAGTTAAAAGCAATTTAATATTTTACGCTCTGCGAATTATAACCTAATAAAAGACAAATATATAGCCTCCTGTCTCTGTTTCAGTCTCTTTCTGGCTCTTTCTGAACTGGGATTAGAAAAGTCATTTATGGGTTTTTTTTTGTCAGCTACCCAAACTTTAAAAAGTTTGGTTTCATAGAGGAAATATATTTTAAAATGTCACACTCACTGCCATATGATAAAGCTGTTTTCAGGTGTTTATTTTTTGTTTAGAACTTATTTTGACTATTTCTATGTGTTTTGGGATGTAACTTTGAATAAAGCAGAGTCACACACTTCTGTTTGTTGTACATTTCATCAGAGCTGGAACGCCTAGATTATTGATCAGTCAAGATCCAATATTTAATGTGCTGTGGCACAAGTTCAGCATATAGAGTTATGCATTTTCAAAGTTTTGAAAACGTCTGTAGTCAACTGTTGTTCTTCTGGCTGGATCACCTTCGGTGGTTTGTGTTCTGGGTTAGAGTACGTGGGTTTGGAATGCAAAATCGGCCACTTTTTCAACAGGCCAGAGAACTGCGGCCAGGTAAGGTGATACCAAGTAACTTTGTCACATGATCTTCATGCCATTCTGGGAGTCTGATTGACTGGGATTCCTAGTATGCTGACTGTAGAGAAGCATCAATACACTGATCAGAAAGGGGTCAAGGGATGGTTTGATCAAGACGGATAACACCATGTTTCTCCAGAGAAAAAACAGCAGTATTGGACAGTTTTGAAGATATGAATAGCCGATGTTTTCCAGAGATATTCAAAAGCTCTTTCTAGAAACCCGTTTAGCAGAGAATGGCTATTTCAACTGCTGGTGAGAGGTGGGTTTCGTCATTGTAATAAAAAACACAGAGCCACACCAAAAGGATCTATCTGCTGTTTAATTCATTTTGTGATGGAGTGGATTACTAAGATTAAAACAAAAGATTTTGAAAGAAAATGTATCACCTCCAAACTTGTCAAATAAAACTAAGTCACAAAAGGTTTGCCCATTCAAACAAGTATTATGTTAAGAGGATATGGCTGTAGGTCAGTATGGTTTTCAAGCAGCTGTGAGCTTTCAGTATGATAATGAGAGCAGGATAATGAGCAGCAGACGCACCAGTACCAGTGCTTAATACCCATACACTTCGCCTGTCCAGGACAACTCTCTCAGGATGCTGTCTAACCCCTGTTGTTTACTTGCATGTGTTGAAATAATTCGGTGCAGTCTTCACCTTTTTCTTCTGCCTTTGGTCCTAATTCTTGCCAAAGTCTTCAAGCCCTTAAAAGCCGGACACTGCCTTGCAAAATTATGTGCAAACCACACTAGACAAGGGGTGGTGTTCAGAACTGTGATGGTCATTCCACATAGCCACTACAGCGAAACAGTCCTTTCTTTTAGTTTTTTTTCTACATGGTGCTGAAATGAAAAAAGCAAACATTTCAACTGAAGTTTGTTTCCAATCTTTCTAAAACTAGGAAAGGAATGTAGAAAATTCAAATGTGACCTTTTCAGGATGAATTGTTTATGAAGTAGAGTTCTACATGACCCAATTCCTCAGTCTGCTCTTGACCAGCATCCTGATCCTCCTGCCGGAGGCTTTGGAAGATTACGTTTTGTATTCGTGATCTGCAAAACCGCACAGTAAATGCTTGTGTTACACAGCGCACAGGAAAGGTCGGTGTCGTGTTTATTGCAATGAAGAGCTTGATTGCTCAGAGAGTTGCAGGCTGTATGAATTATGTGTGCTGGGGCTCCGGGCCCTCTAGGAAAAGGCCGTAAAAGTTTTCCGCTCCCTGCAAAACCCAAGGCACCGAACCAAGCAGTTGAGTCTGCCGTGTGTGTTTCTACCACTCGAGGGCTTTGATGCTGCAACGTAGTTCATGATCTCTTCTACACGTTTGTTTAATCGTCTAAGATCTCTCCCTCAATTTAGGCCACAGAATTTTCTTAAACATCTTATCCATGGCAGAGAGTGAACATAAGCCCACTGAGTCTCCGAAGGTTGGAGTCACTCCTTCAGTGTGACACAGGTAGGACTCTTAGCAGTTCATTACGGGAATATAGTGTTTTCTGGAAGCCGGGAAAGTTTAGAAGCCACTGTGCCTGGTAGGAGAAACTCAAGATATCCACTTTATGTACTTGTGGTCAGGGATTATAGCAGTAAGTAACCAGAGGTTTTTGTATGTAAACAATTGAAGACGTCCTGACTCTCAGTGGTCATTAAAGATCCCGGGCATTTCTCGATAAGAGTGGGCTTTTTTTTTTTGGACCCTCAATCTGTATATACCCATGCACATTTTGCACATATTTTATTGTTTTTACAGTGACTATGAGCATATTTTGCACACGCCTATGTATTTTTTCCATTCTTTTATATTTATTTTGTATGCTACATATTTTAATTTTTCGTCTATTTTGATCTTTTTTTTTTTTTTGCTCGTCTTGGACTGGACTGCTGTAACACATCAATTTCCCTTCGGGATCAATAAAGTCTTATCTATCAAATGACTATTGAAGACCGACACTAGAGGTCACTCTTCACCCCATCTACACAAAGTCAACCTGGTAAACCAAATTGCTAGTGTGGGAATTCCTCAAGCCCAACACTAGAGGTCACTGTTGACTCGGCATAAACACACACAGCCAGTTGAACGTCACTGGTCCCATGCTGACTGACCTGTTCAGATCTATTGGAATGTGCCCGAGAAAAAGAATTGTTGACCTGAACAGACACAAGCAAATTATGGCTTTTCATTGCCCAGTGAGAGCCTTTTACATCGTTGTTTGTCCATGGCCTGGCACCCTGAGTCTGGTTTAGTGTTGTGAGAGTCTGAGAGAGCCGCAGTAACCCCGATTCTCCTTGTTTAGATTCTTTGCGGCAATGAGAAGCAGCACCTGTGGAGTTCTAACATAGCATCGATCCACACACCCCTTCGTCTCTGCTTCATCACTACAACTTCGACGAGATCAAGAAGCTCAGCAGAGCTCACAGAGGTAAGTGCGAGATTCCTCTGTATGTCCTTGTCCATTACAAAGCGCTGGGAGGATAAAGAGGATTAAGTGGAGAAGTTTCCCTTGTTGTTGTTGTTGTTGTTGTTAAAATACTACTGACCATGGCGTGAATTCCGTGCCGTTCTCTCTCTTTCTGCACTTGCACATGGAAACCAAGACTGTTAGTGGATTAATTGTAAATCATAAAACGCATCAGTCTTAGAAATTGGTGCTACTGTTGTTACACACAGAATTGTGGGGGAGTATGAAACAGCCACTGACACCAAATTGTATGGCGGGCTCTTACTCCTTACCCTAATCTTTAAAAAGCTTTGCTAAAACAATGAATACATTCTGATATGCCTTACACGATCAACAGACCAAGGATTTGTCTATTAAAATAAGATACTTTTTTTAAAAATCCTTGACTGTTCCAGGGCATCTACTTATCAACTGTGGTATCTTGTACTACCCTCACTAATTAATTTAACCCGTCATCAAATACCTGCCTCTCCCTCATATCCACTGGCTTCCTTACTCCCTTCAATTCTATGTGCTTTATTAAATGACCGATGGGTACAATCAGTGTTGCAAAAGCAAATAAAAATAAAAAAATTAACATGAGACAAAACAAGAAATAAACGTAAAATAAAATCTACAGACATATTACAGACATTTGCAACACAGACATATCATAAAATATTTACATATACATATACTCTCTTACTCTTCTTAAAAGTTCTGAATGCACCTGCAACGTTTTTGTAAACTAAATAGTAAACTCCACAAAACATCACAGCGTTGAATATCTTTGTAAAACTTTGTGTGGCTTTTAATGTGCTTACTAGGATAGTCGGACTGTTGTGAGTTTTGTTTCAGAGTTTCGTGTGGTGTCAGGCAAAAAAGTTTCAGAACATTTTACTCTTAGTTTCAGCCACTAGGTGGAGCCCTCTCCCTGTATTTGATCACTTATCCTTACTGAATTACATTTGCATCCCAAATACTAGAGGGTGAAATCATGATAATAATCCTTACACTTACACTGTACACAGTGCATACTGGACACTCCACTTAAAGTGTTTTACAGGTAACAGGGACTCCCCTCCACCACCAGTGTGCAGCCCCACCTGGATGATGTGATGGCAGCCAGAGTGTGCCAGTCCTCTCACCTCACATCAACTCTCAGTGGGGAGGAGAACACAGGCTGTCTGTAGCCATACAAAATTTAGTAGAACTACTGATATTTGCAGTCTTTGTACAGATTCACAGACAGTATATTTTTTTGACTGCACTTTAGAGAAGTTCACTGCAACGAAGCATGTCTGCACAGATCCTCAGGGGCTTTATTTATTCATTTTCCCTTGTGCAGTTAGGTTGGATCATGCACTTTTTGTTTACAACAGTATAATCATTCTTTTCACTGATTTATGGATTACCATTAGATTGGTTTTGCTCATCAACCACCCTGTATGCGCTATGTTGTTTGAGTAACACCAAAAAAGCAGTAAAATAAGGAAGCTATTTTGCATTTTAATAATTAGCCATACAGTTTGTTTTGAAATAGCCATTACTATTCAATTATATAAAAATGCATTGTGAATGTGCCCTAAACCAAATGCTTGTTTGGTCTTTCTCAAGACATGGAAACTGCAAAATCCCTGACTGACGAGGTTCATGTTTTTAATAAAACTAAGTCTTTGAGCCATGCGAACATAACTTTACTGGATCCCTGGTTGTTAATTATGACCAATCCCACAATCACTTAATTAGAATTCAGGAGCAATTAATGGTGGGATGATCCCTAAGCCCCCAGACCTGTATTTTGCATTGTACTGCAATAGTGTAGTAGTTAGCGGATCTGTCTCTCCCTGCCTAAATGAAAATGAGTCATGGCTCCCAGCTCGGCACCCCTTCTTCAATAGTGTTGGCTTCAGATTTATTATCCACGCGGCTCCGATATTAAGCCACTGATAACATCTTCACAAGGAGCTTACTCAGGGCTTGTCAGCCTCAGCAGTCAAATGTAAATGGTGTAACATAGACGTGGGAGAGTATTATTACATCACAAAATATTCATTAAAAGCAAATGTGTTTCCTCACTGCCTGTAATTTAGAATCCTTTATCCAGACGACCTGAGGACCTGACATCTGCTTGGAAAGAAAAGCTTATCTCTTTGAAAGCGAACGGAACTATGATTGCTCAGATAATGCTCAGCCTGCAATGCCAGGGAGCTGAATCTTTGTATTTTAGCCAGGATATGAGAGTGGTGGTATAGGGGACTATATGCTATGTATAGCACAGAGTTGC